ACCACTTTCCTACACAGATTTGGGTTGGGAAAGGATAAAAAGAGAAAAATTACTGACACGTGGCTGTCGTGGCTGTCGTCAAACCATGCAACTGAGACGACATGACAGGTGCATGGATGTTACGAGGGCAATGCTACCACTAATTATTGATTGAGGGCACTGAGATAGATATAAGGTTAAATGCTAAATTTAGTCCCTCAACTTTATAAAATGAATATTTTTAGTTTTTTAACAATTTTTTACATTTTTTTGATCCCTTAATTCTAAAAATTGCATAATTTTGGTCCCTCCGTCAGTTAAGTATGATGTAACAGTTAAATAATTTCATGTGACATTGTTTTTTAATTTTTTTGATGATGTGGCACTAATATATATTATAATTATGTTATATAAATAAATAAAAATACCACATAGATTAATATACATATTTTAATAAAAAATATAAAATTACCTTATTACCCTCATCCTCACCCTCACACTCCCAATCCCTTTTCTTCCCCTTCTTTTTTTCTCTTTCTTTCTTTCGGGTTCGGTGGAAACCCAGCCTTGCTGGGTTCGTTGACCAACCAAGGCTGGGTTTATCAGAACCCAGCCTTGCTGGGTTCGCGACCAGCCAAGGCTGGGTTCGCCAGAACCCAACCAAGGCTGGGTTTATCGGAACCCAACAGATCTAGGTTTCGACGAACCCAACAAGGTTGGGTTCCGTCGAACCTAGCAGATTTGCTGGGTTTCAACCGAACCCAGCTTTGTTGGGAAAGCTTGGTTCTTGTTCGTTCTTCTTTCGATTTCCATTTGCAATTGTTAATATATTTGGATATTGATTTATAATTTGATTGCATTTTTGTTGGAATTCGATTAAAGTTTGATTGTATTTTTGTTGAAATTCGATGGTTAAATACCCTTTTTGGTCTCTCTACTATAGGAAAAAGCCCTTTTTTGATCCCTGTACCGAAAAAATCCCCTTTTTGATCCTTATTGTTCACAAATCCGGTCCCTTTTTGGTCATTCCGTTAATTTTTGCTCACATGGCACGTTAACTTAACTAGAACAGCTGACGTGGGTATGCCAACATGTAAAAGATGCTTACGTGGATTTAATAATACCCTCCACGTCTCCCTCCACGTCACTCTCCCAGCACGAAAAAAGAAAAAATTACTAATTTACCCCCATCCTTTCCTTCCTCTGGGCTTTATTTTTTTTTTCCTTTTACCTCCAGGCGAACCCAGCTCCAATCCAGGTCGCAAACCCAGGTGTGACCTAGATTCATTGTTCATGGGTTCGTGAAGAACCCAGGCTTGGGTGGATTCATCTTGGGTTCTTGACGAACCCAGGTGCGCGCTAGGTTCTTCACGAACCCAGGACCAACCCAGCTCGTGCCTGGGTTCCCGACGAACCCAGCGCGACTTGGGTGGGTTCGTCCTGAGTTCACGACAAACCTAGGTGAGCTTGGGTTCTCGTCTACGTCGAACATTTACAATGAACCTTCCTGAATTAACACCACCTCATCACAGGAAACAAATCAATTGCCAACTTCCTGAATTAACATATTCAAATTTACACCAAACAAGCTTAACAATGAAGCTAAAGAAATCAAGAATCAAACCTCGGGGGAGTGAGCCTGAGCTAGTACGAGAAACCACTTCAGCACCGGGAACTAAACAACCGTGAAAACTCCATCGCGTAGATCTGAGCAATCTGTGGAGTCAATAACCTTCAAATAGTAAAGAACTCGACTCAATCTATTGAAGCTAAGGATAGCGCGAGATGGGTTCCTTGCGAACCCAGGCTCTTGGGTTCGTTAGGAACCCACGAGCTTTGTTCCTCACGAACCCAGGCTCCTGAGTTCGTCGAGAACCCGCGAGTTGGGTTCCTCGTGAACCCAGGCTCCTGGGTTCGTCCGGAACCCGCGAGTTGGGTTCTTCATGAACCCAGGCTCCTGGGTTCGTTAGGAACCCACGAGCTTTGTTCCTCACGAACCCAGGCTCTTGGGTTCCTCGCGAACCTAGGCTCCTGGGTTTGCCTAGAGCTAAAAGAAAAAAAAAAAAGAGAAAAAAAAAAGGCCAGAGCGAACCCAGAGGTAAAAGAAAAAAAA